TACCCAGGTTCCCCTCCCTAATAACAAGTCCTAGCAGTCAGATTAATGCAAGATATATTTGCATTTTTATCAAGGGTCCAGGCACACTTGCAGCCCACAAGCATCTTTCTAAAATACATCTGGTTCCTAAGCTTGGGTTGCTGTATGCCAGCTCTAAAGGTTGGTGGTGATATAATGCTGCTATCTAGTGGCTAAAGAAGGGATTCTCCATCTGATTCCTATAGGAAAAGAGAGGTGTTAGTCTAGGGCAGGGGTAGGCAACCTTGGCTCTTTTATGACTCGTGGACTTCAACTCCCAGAATTCCTGAGCCAGCTGCTGGCTCAGGAATTCTGGGAGTTGAAGTCCACGAGTCATAAAAGAGCCAAGGTTGCCTACCTCTGGTCTAGGGTAGCCCAAAACATCTGCTTGCCCTCTTTCAATCCAACCAATGTTTTTTACTTTAAGGCACAACTAGTTCATGAAAGTTTACTCCTTAAAATCAAGCCTGGTTAGTCTTGAAAGTGCTAACAAATTCTTGATTGTCATCTGACATTGTTTAGCAATTGTTGCCGAGATGTGTTCCAATATCTCAGGGGCTGCCCCAAAGAAGAGGGAGTCAAGCTATTCTCCAAAGCGCCTGAAGGCAGGCCAAGAAGCAACGGATGGAAACTAACCAAAGAGAGAAGCAACCTAGAACTAAGGAGAAACTTCCTGACAGTTAGAACAATTAACCAGTGGAACAACCTGCCTCCAGAAGCGGTGAATGCGCCAACACTGGAAGTTTTTAAGAAGAGACTGGACAGCCATTTGTCCGAAATGGTATAGGGTTTCCTGCCTGAGCAGGGGGTTGGACTTGATGACCTCCAAGGTCCCTTCCAACTTTACTACTACTACTACTACTACTACTACTACTATTATTATTATTATTATTATTATTATTATTATTATTATTATTTGGGGGAAAAGCACATTCAAATGACAATTCATATACACCAATAATTCACTGCTGCAAATCAGGAATAGAATTCTCCTTCAAAGCTTGTATGATAATTCTTAGATTTTGTGAATTACACCTTTTAACACACAGTGATTCAGTCATGTTAACAATCATATTGATGGCAACCCAAAATGTGAAAACAGAGCAAGACAAATCCAGGAGTTAATAATTCAATTCCTAAATTGTATCTCCATCAGCAAGAGGATTATCACCAAACGTATTAAACAGTCTCTGACCCTGGGACATTGCAGCTATCATAAATACATGCCAGTTGCCAAGCATCCTGATTTTGAACACGTGACATGGGGATGCTGCAACGGTCATAAGTGTGAAACTGTCCGTGGCTTTTTAACTCCCAAACGGTCACTAAGCGAATGGTTGCAAGTCGAGTTGTATTCTTTCTCCAACTTAATGGACTCCCTATCTATAGCTCAGAATCAACCTCTGTGCCATTCGGTGAACTGTAGTCTACCAGAAGCTTATGAAATAATATCTTTTTAACCTTTCAGGTGCATCAACGCTTATTTTTCCAAGGCTGACTCTAACGCCAGCTAGCCAAATGCTAGGTCTGCTGCCAGCTTCAGGCGAGAGAGTGCAGAGAAAGACATCGGCCTGTTCAATTTCAATTTTCCCTTTTAACTCCAGGCCATTTATTAAAAGGCATGCACACACTGGGAGTCACAAAGGGCCCCCTTTTGACACGGCGTTAACTTTATCAAGGCTGCAGTACAGGGCAGTGATAAATTGAGCTGCCCTTCGGTCTGTCACGGGGAGATTAATACGAAGAGCGAAATGGACTTTACATGGCTAGGAGGCCAGGCGTTCTGTAGTCATTGGAAGACAGGGATGGAGCAAGCTGTACCCTGAAGCACGGAGTTCTTCTTTGACACACAATCTTTCCCCTTGCCCCTCCGAACGACAACTTCTGGAGCCCACCTTTCTGTGTATATTTAATGCAGTCTGGAGATAGCAAAAAAATAAATAAAAAATCTTTACTTGACTAGAAGAAGAATGTATAATCATGGTCTCCTATAAATTAACCAAACATGGCCCAGGAAAGATCCAATAAAAGGAGAGGCAGTAGGTTTTCAGATGAATCCAGTGGGGATTTTCAGAGACTTTGGGATCCAGTGGGGCAGGGGCAGGTCCATGTTTGAAACTCAAGAACTTTTATTATCAAAGTAATAGGATTGCATCTAGCCAGAGATGTCCAACCTTGGAAACTTTAAAAGACAGGTGAATTTCAACTTCCAGAAGTTCCTAGCCATCCATGTTGGCTGGAGGATTCTAGGAGTGAAAGTCCACAAGTCATAAAGTTGCCAAGGCTGGACACCCCTGATCTAGGCTCAAGAGTCTGGGAACCACAACTAATTCTGGCAGTATCACATACTGGGTTTTTTTGAACATTCTATTTTTTCTTGGACTTCCACTTTTCCAATCCTACCGTTTTCCTATTAGATCACTAGGTTTTGGAATTTAGAGATGAAATAGACTTTAGACATTTTTTGCTCCTCGGAGAAAAGCAGGAAATAGCCATCTGATATGATTGATTGTTACTTATATTTGTAATTTGTCACCACTGGTTTACCTTCAGTGATCAGATTCACACATTATACTATCCCATGATGTTGTCTGCTTTTGGACCAGCCTGTTGTGTGAACCTAGTGACGAGGGGGGACATGATAGCAGTGTTCCAATATCTCAGGGGCTGCCACAAAGAAGAGGGAGTCAAGCTATTCTCCAAGGCGCCTGAAGGCAGGACAAGAAGCAACGGATGGAAACTCATCAAGGAGAGAAGCAATCTAGAACTAAGGAGAAACTTCCTGACAGTTAGAACAATTAACCAGTGGAACAACCTGCCTCCAGAAGCTGTGAATGCTCCAACACCGGAGGTTTTTAAGAAGAGACTGGACAGCCATTTGTCCAAAACGGTACAGGGTTTCCTGCCTGAGCAGGGGGTTGGACTAGAAGACCTCCAAGGTCCCTTCCAACTTTATTATTATTGTTATTGTTATTATTATTATTATTATTATAAGAGCTGGTATAGAGGGGAGTAAGCGAGCTTACTCTGAGAGCACGCCCAGCCAGCTTCCTCTCCCCTTGTCCACTCCGGAGCCATTTTTCACACTCTGAAAAGAAGAGATCGCTTTTAGCCTGGGTCCATCTGGTTTCTCAAATAGCCTGTCTCTTTGATAAATAACATAAATTAAATTAGACAAGACAAATAAATAGGGGTGGTTTTTCCCCCCTTTTGCTCCCCCCCCCTCCTCCCCTTTCCCAGCATCTACCCTCAACTCTCCCTGGATGGAAAACAAAAACAAATAGAATTGAGCAAATGCCTGGAGCCCCCATCTCACCATTGCAAAATATGAGGGGCAGGGAAAAGGGTGGGATGTTTGCAAACGTGTCTGAAATGTTAACCGTTTAACACAGACCGCAGGACGCCCTTTTAAGCTCTTTTTAAGCTTTTCTGCTGCAAAGCGGTGCTGCTGACAAGGCCAACAAGTTAGCAACAATCCAACTTTCTAGACTCACACAGTGTTTCTCAACCTTGGCAACTTTACGATGGGTGGACTTCAACTCCCAAAATTCTCCAGCTAGAATTCTGGGAGTTGAAGTCTACACATCGTAAAGCTGCCAAGGTTGAGAAACACTGTAAGGATTAAATGAAATCAAATAAAAGCTATTCATCTGCAGGGGAAGGGATGAGCCATGTGTCCGCAGCTCCAGTTCAGGGCAAGAAAACAAAGAGGCGGGTGGATACGTGGTGCTTCTCAGAATAATCAGGATGCCAGGCTGAAGTTTGAAGCAGCAGATATTTCATTCGAATGAACAGAGAATAGTTATCCGATGAAGCAGCAGACTGATGGCTAACATATGCAAGGAGCAATTCAGCTACTACCCAGGACCCCTTCCCTATTGGGCTTCTCTTCCAGGAACATCAATAGGATGGCATGCTGTCTTTTCTGAAAACTCACTTCTGTAGCAAAGAATGCATCCAAATCCTTTAGTCATCTCTTCATTTCCTCTCATTCCCCCGCAACAGATGTCTTTCTCGTAGGAACACACTTAAAATATATATTTTCCCCCCAACCAGAAGGTGTGGCAGTGAGGTTGTAACACCAGTGGAAATGGCAGAACTTCTTTTGGGGGTTTTTGATGGTGGGGAGGAGTGTTTTAGACCAGTGTTTCTTAACCTTGAAAACTATAAGATATGTGGACTTCAACTCCCAGAATTCCCCAGCCAGCATGGCTGGCTGGGGAATTCTGGGAGTTGAAGTCCACATATCTTAAAAGTTGCTAAGGTTGAGAAACACTGTTTTAGACTACCAAAAATTTAATGTACTGTTTTAACATAAGCCTCTCTCTTAACGAACAGTAATATATCTTCAGATGATCGTTCCAAATGCATATACAGAAAAAGAATTCCATTTCCTGCACATATATCAAACTGCATATATCAGCTTCCCTTGAAGTCTTTATTTTTGGCATAATTTCTTCTGCTTCTTCCCACAATTAACAACTCTGCCTCTTATGAAAGCCTGACTGCAGAGCCTTGTGTGGATGTCTGTCTGTGTGTGTTTGTGTGTGTACAAATATGATTCATTTATTTAGTGCTTACAGAACAATTTGCAATCTGGGATCACTGCCAAGAGACTCTGGAGGAATGACCTTAGACGAATTAACACAGAGTTAAGTGAAGAACCAGGCAGGATCCTGTCAAAGGAATGTCTTGGGAGGAACACCTGGAAAAAGTAGCCAGAGGTTTGCTGTATCCTCCATTTATCCTCCAGATTTCAAATGGAACATGGTTGTAAACATTTCATCCAGACTTCCTTTTTCCCCCTCCATTTTATATGCTTTAAAATGTGCATATTACATAAAGAGAATTATAATTTTTAAAAAAGTAGATGCTGCCCTCCCTCTGTTTTGTCTTGACTCAAATTCAAGATCCTTGTTTATTTATAAAAGATTAAAACGCCAGTGGGAGATGGAAACACAGGGAACAACAACAAAGATATATATATATCTATACATTGCAGATATATCCTGTTCTATGGTATGAATTTAGAAAAATTAAAACCTTGATTAAAAGTACACCGGAGCTTTCCAAAATACTGAGCGGGGAAAAAGTTATATATACATATACACACACAGCCTCCACCCTGATTTTAAGACCCAGATAGGGAGATCGCAATGCTTCAAAGTTGGCCCCAAAATAAAACACTGCCTTAGAATGTGACTTGGGTCGAGTAAAGTCCTAAAGAAAAAAGAAACAATTAAAAAAAACCCCGAAGGCTCAATTAGTGCTGGAGTCAGTACTGTAACAAGAGAGAACAAACAAAATGATTTTTTCCTGTTTCCCAACTTATACCTGAGGTTTGGGAAGGAATAACAATGCCATATGTTCTACAATGTAGATATTGCCCATCCAGCAGACTGTAGATTTGTGCGTTGTCTTTTACAGCTCTGCAAAATCCGAAACGTGGCTGGAGGAGACCATGCAAACTGGCATTTTTTTTTTCTTTACCTCTCCAAATACTGGAATATACTTCGGGTTTCTTGAACTGACGTGCTGTCAAGTCGCAGTCGCTTAGGAGAAGGCAGAGCAACAGCAGGCAGAGTTCTTCTTTTGACCTAGAAAATGTCAGGAAGTAGTTAGTTCCAAAGATTTCTGGATCGCCAGAATCTCATTCATTCAATGAATGACTCAGTCATTGGCTACCACAAAAGAACCACCGTGTTCTTAGTTAACCGAAGCATCTTTACCTAACTTGACTTTGAACTTTTCATTTGCCTGTAGTCAGTTGAGCGACTGCTCTCTCCAGCTTTGAATAACACTATCCAAGCCTAGTCCAAGAGTTTCTAAAAGCCTGACAAATTAGCTATCAATTGGCACATAGATATAAACAATATCTATTTACTATATAACAGACAATCAACAAGTCAAAAAGGGAAAAAATAAGACCAAAACACCTCCCCACCAGCAATCAGCACCCGGATGAGCATAGATTAACTCCGAGATTAACATCAGAGCAACAATTAAGTAAACCAGGGGTCCCCAACCCCTGGTCCGTGGACCAGTACCGGGCCGTGGCATGCCAGCAACCGCTCTGCACAAACAAGCAAAGCCCCATCTGCGGGATGCAGGAGCACACAAAACCACGCACCCTCCGGTCCGCGGAAAAACCTCTCTCCACGGAACCGGTCCCCGGTGCCCAAAAGATTGGGGACCTCTGAAGTAAACAATATCCCAATCAAGGAATTGCCAAACAAGCCAACAGGAAGCAGCCCAATCAAAGAATCTCTAAGACCACCCCCCCAACTCTGTCAGAGCAAGCCACTAGAATATAAATTGAGAGCAAAGCCCAGTCCTTAGTAGCACTGATTATGTTATCTAGTTTGGGTAATGAAACTTCTGCAAGAAAACAACCCAGCTCAGATAGCATCAAGAACCCCTCACTATTCAAGCCTAACAACAGTGAAATAACCTTTCAGTGGCTGGCTGGAGAATTCTGGAAGCTGAAGTCCACACAAGAGAAAATTGCTGAGGTTGAGAAACACTGGCCTAGAGCAGGGGTACGCAACCTTGGCTCTTTTATGACTCGTGGACTTCAACTCCCAGAATTCCTGAGCCAGCATGGCTCAGCTTGGAAACCTCTCCCTTTCCCCTCAGCGTGGCTGGCTCAGGAAATCTGGGAGTTGAAGTCCACGAGACATAAAAGAGCCAAGGTTGCCTACCCCTGTCCTAAGTCCTCCTGTTTTAAGCGGTGAGCCTCCTAGACCAGGGGTAGGCAACCTTGGCTCTTTTATGACTGGTGGACTTCAACTCCCAGAATTCCTGAGCCAGCATGGCTCAGCTTGGAAACCTCTTCCTTTCCCCTCAGCATGGCTGGCTCAGGAATTCTGGGAGTTGAAGTCCACGAGTCATAAAAGAGCCAAGGTTGCCTACCCCTGGCCTAGAGGGAGGGAGGTGAGGGAAATGGACGGATGGATTTCATAGAGGGATGGATGGATACAGAATAAATAAGAACAAAACACATGTTAAGTAACAGATTCCCTCAAATCAATCAGATTTCCACCTGGGGTTTGGCTTTCTCCCTCACGTCCTCGCTCTTAACTGGGGACAGGGTCTGGAAGACAAAGTTGCGCGAATTCCTGGGGGCATTCGGGTTGAGATCAGACATGGCTGCCAATTTCTGCAAGACCGCTCGCGGCTGATTCAACAAGGATCCATTCTTCAGCTGTCAGGTGAAAAAAAAAAAGGTTATCTAGGACTTGTATTCAAGTAACACGACTGCCTATCGTTTCAGCCTTCAGGAGCATAGAGAGTCCTTTTCCTCCTCTCACAGGCACAGTAAATAAGGAAGAGCAGCACTTCAATTAACTTCTCCCTTTCTTAATTTATGCCATAATGGAAACATGTCAGGAAACACAGCAGGTCCATTCATTCATCTAGCTTAGTTTATCTACCCCAGGGATCTCCACACTTGGCAACTTTAACACTTCTGGACTTCAACTCCCAGAATTCCTCAGCCAGCCATGCTGGCTGGGGAATTCTGGGAGTTGAAGTTCTTTCTTCTTCTTCTTCTTGTGCCATATCCATTATTGGACGTTGGCGATCATGTTGGCGATCCTGTTTTTATCAGCAGCCAATGAAAAAGTGCTGCTGAGTTTTGTCCAAACCAGTCCCTTAGATTTTGAAGCCATGATGTTCTTCTTCTGCCTGGACCTCGTTTGCCTTCAATCTTTCCCTGGAGGATTAAATGGACTATGCCGTATTTTTCTGGGTGTCGCATCACATGTCCGAAATATTCTAATTTTCATTTTTTAATTGTGTTGATGATTTTCCTTGGCTTTCCCAGGCGGCTGATCCCCTCCTCATTTCTGATCTTGTCAACCCAGCTTATACGTAACAGCCGCCTGTAAATCCACATTTCAAATGCTTCTAGTCTCTTCAGGTGACCTTCTGTCAGAGATCGACTCTCTACTCCATAGAGCAGGATAGAAAAAATATAGCATCTGACAAGCCTGATTTTCAGACTTAGGCTTATGTCATGACTGCAGAAGACCTTTTTCATTTTGAAGAATGCTGTTCGGGCTTTCTCTTGAAGTTCACAAGTCTTAAAATTGTCAAGTTTGGAGACCCCCTGGTCTACCCTACACGCGGCAATTCTCCAAGGAGTACCTCCCAGCCGAGAGATTCTGTGACTGGACAAAACAGGATCGAACCTGGGATATTTTCCACAGGGAAGCGCAAGGCTAAGCCCCAGACAGACAAGCTTCCCCATACAATCAAGGCCATCCGTGACAGCCCAACCCCTGGAGGCAACCTGGGACCTAGTGCCAGAGAAAGGAAGCCCACCTCTCTTATAAAGAAAGCTTTCTACTGGCGATATAAATTCAAACAAGGAATTGTCCATCCTCAGATGATACTAACCTGTGGTTTACTGCCGGGCTGGAAACTTTCAAATGGATTTCTGGGTAGTGATTTAATTTCCTGAACAGTTACTGCAGAGGGTGCTAGGAGAGCAAAGAAAAGAAAAGGGAGAGAGAAAGGAAAGCTTGTCAGAAGGCAAACCAACAACAGGAAGAGTTGCATTGTCTGCTTCTTTGGCCATTCAGACAGTGTAGAAGCAGAGATTTCACATGTGGGGAAGCTGCTTCCTATGTTGGCACCCACAGGTTAGTTAGAACAATTAACCAGTGGAACAACCTGCCTCCAGAAGCGGTGAATTCTCTAACACTGGACAGCCATTTGTCCGAAATGGTGTAGGGTTTCCTGCCTGAGCAGGGGGTTGGACTAGATGACCTCCAAGGTCCCTTCCAACATCATCATCATCATCATCATTATTATTATTTACTAGGAAATAGGAGAATAAAGGTCAGTCAAGGACAACCTGGATTTGGAAACCATCCTTGACCATTTCAGACTTGCTCTGAGGACAGTATTTCTGCAGTCACATAACCACCTATTTCATGGTTTTGCCAAAACTCAGCATTTAGTTACAGTTTTCAGCAAAACTGGAGCATAGTGAACCACTGATTTTCTTTAAAAACCACTGTATGTCACTTTTAAACCTCTGAATGTTTTAAATGATTTAATGACTTTCTTTTGCTGGCTGTTCTTAACATTGGCGGATGGACGCAAGGGATACAGAGAAAAGGCTAAGGATCTAAAATTAGCATGGATGAATCACGTTTATTTAGCTGGCACACACAAAATAAGTTTTAAAAGTATTTTAAAACCTAGAAGAAAACCAACATTTCTTGTCCATGTCTCTCCCTCCTCCCCCATGTGTGTGACTCAGCCTGACTAAGTTTAGATAGTTGGTCAACAGAGAGAGGAAGAGTTCCAAGTTGTTTATTCATTTTTTTAAAACTACAGCAGGCTTGTTAAAGTTTTGTTAATTTTGATGTGTTTCCTGGATTTCCAAGATCATCTCTTCCACTCAATTTTTCAGCAGCCCAATGTAAAGTTCCTGTCTGTATAATTTACATTAATTTATCTATTAATAATCACCCATTTCTAAGAGATTAGGAGGTAATCTCAAAATATTTTTCCCTGACAGTGTTGATTCTGTGGAATTCCCTGACTCCAAGAATCTAGTCAGCTCCTAAGTCTTGTTATATATGTTTCAAGGGCACATATTGGTCTCCACTTCAATTTTTATTTTTTTTATTAGCTATTTTATTACTTCTTCCCCCCCCTCCCCCGTGTTTCAATTATTACCTTTTGTTTTGTGGTTGATATTATAATCTGCTAGGAGTCTCTCAATTATGGCAGGTTAAAAAAAAGTCAAATCAATCAATAAAATGGCAACTAGAATGTAGCAATGATATTTTGCAAGTGGACAATTGAAATTCGGTGAAAAGGAAGATGCAGGGACTATAAAGAGGTGGATTAAACACGTGGATTGCCCTGCCTATTTTAAAATCACAGAATACAGTCCTTCCTTCTTAAGGTGTAACTCTGTCATTCATAAAGGAGAAAAGGAGGATACCTTTCTTTTGTAGCAACTTGTTTGTGACTTTTTTGGCCAGTCTCATGAACTGGCTATCCTCGTCCACCTCCACCTCCACCTCTCCTTTCGTAGACTGTGAATAAGCAGAACTTTTATTAGGCGAAGTAGCAAGAAGTAAAGAAAGAGACAGAAAAAAAAATACTATGTTGAACAAAACCACTGTCTACTAGTCGGCACCAGGCTTTAAAAACACATTTAGGAGGATCTGTGGCAACTATCCAGGCTAGCTGGGTTTATTTTCTTAGTTCAAATCTATGTTAGTTTTCTCTCTAGAGCAGGGGTAGGCAACCATGGCTCTTTTATGACTCGTGGACTTCAACTCCCAGAATTCCTGAACCAGCCATGCTGAGGGGAAAGGGAGAAGTTTCCAAGTTTAGCCATGCTGGCTCAGGAATTCTGGGAGTTGAAGTCCACGAGTCATAAAGCAGCCTAGGCCTAGGCCAGAGGTAGGTAACCTTGGCTTTTTTATGACTCGTGGACTTCAACTCCCAGAATTCCTGAGCCAGCATGGGGGAACTATGGCCCCTTCATGACTGGTGGACTTTGACTCCCAGAATTCCTGAGCCAGCCATGCTGAGGGGAAAGGGAGAGGTTTCCAAGCTGAGCCATGCTGGCTCAGGAATTCTGGGAGTTGAAGTCCACGAGTCATAAAAGAGCCAAGGTTGCCTACCTCTGTACTAGACCATAAAGGAAGCTTGGCATACCACAATATCCACCAATTTACTTCCACAACAACAACCCTGTAAGGTAATTTCGCTCAGTGCCCAAATCATTCAAAGTGACAGTAAAGTTATTATTCTATTTTTTATTCTATTCTATCATCTGCTAAGATTTCATGGCTGACTTCAGCTTGGATCTTCCCAGTTCCCAGGTCCGGCCTGAGTCTCAAAGGCTGCATTTCCCACCCCTCTCTCTCTCTCAAGAACTGCATTCCTGCAGGAATAGTCAGCCGCTGGATGGATGGATGCAAAGAGTGGGTCCAGACATTTTCTTAAACAAAAATGTAGTGCCATCATTTATATCCTCTGATGTTGACCTCCCACTCCTTTATACTTCTTTCCTCTGTTTCTCTCATGTGATAGATTGCTGGGGAAGATGCAGGTTCCCTCCCCCACCCCACTATCTAAATTACTTGCTAATAAAGAGCTTTTGGAATCAGGCTAAGAATCATGTGAAATGATGCCAAGGACTATTTTGGGTTTCTAAGCCTATGACAGGGGTAGGCAACCTTGGCTCTTTTATGACTCGTGGACTTCAACTCCCAGAATTCCTGAGCCAGCATGGCTCAGCTTGGAAACCTCTCCCTTTCCCCTCAGCATGGCTGGCTCAGGAATTCTGGGAGTTGAAGTCCACGAGTCATAAAAGAGCCAAGGTTGCCTACCCCTGGCCTATGACCACAATTGAGCCCAAAGACAATTGTTAATTGAGTTTTGCCCCATTTTATGACCTTTTCTACCACCAGCTGCTAAGTCAGTCAGAAGGTTGTTAAAGTGAATCTGACTTTGTTTGTCAGAAGGTTTCAAAAAGTGATCCCATGACCTTGGGACTGTCCCAATAAATACATGCCAAGCATCCAAATTTTGATGACGTAACCATGGGGATGCTGCAAGGGTCTTCAGTGTGAAAAACGGCCATGAATCGCTTTCTCCAGTGCCGTTGTAACTTCAAAGAGTCACTAAACAAACGGTTGTAAGTTGAGGACTACCTCTACATGAATTGTTACCGTGTGGGTTACCTGTTCTCGGAACCACTGTTCTCGTTCAAAGCGCTCCTTCCTCCACTTGGCCTCTGTCTCTTCTAGGTGATTTTCATTCTCATCCCCGCTGTCAGCATCCCTGTGAAAAGCGTCTCCCTCGGGAACGTCATCTGAGAAGAGACAGAAAAATGGGAAATAAGGTCTCGCTCCCTAAGTCTCAATGTTCATTTTAGAAGGAAAAAAGATAATTTGAGAGAAAGCATCTGGACTCAGAGGAGAAGGCCCGAGGTCCATGATCCGGGCAAAGTGATAATGGATATAGGGTGAAAAAAAGAAATATATATATATATATACACTTATATAACATATATAACCACCATGACGGTTTGCGAGCGAGCGTGTTATGAGCGTGCCATATGCACATGCCATACTGTAACTGTTTTAACTGTTATATAAGTGTATACACAGGCTCCCTTGTTATTCAGCCCTTGCTCTGATGATGTCAACAGCTAGTTGACGAAAGCTTAGCAATAAAGAAGCCTTTTTTCTTATATCCCGGAGTACATCTTTTTATTTTACTGATTTTAAATGTCCATACCTGGGATTCCAGTATTTAAATTTATCAAAGACATATATAGGGCAGATAGGAGCTGTTACAAAGCCTATATTTGATTTTACACGTCACAACAGCGGCAAGAATAATATTTGCGGAATATTGGAAAAATGAAGGAATAGCACCAGAGGAAGAAATAATCAAAAAAACATTGGAATGCGCAGAGATGGACAGATGGACTATGAGACTGAAAGAAAAAGAAGAAACAGAATATTATCAAATTTGGGACTTACTCTACCGATGGTTAGAGGGAAGAATAAAGGATTAGGAATTAAATATGTATTAGACCAGGGGTAGGCAACCTTGGCTCTTTTATGACTCGTGAACTTCAACTCCCAGAATTCCTGAGCCAGCATGAGGGAAACTTTGGCCCCTTCATGACTCGTGGACTTCAACTCCCAGAATTCCTGAGCCAGCATGGCTCAGCTTGGAAACCTCTCTCTTTCCCCTCAGCATGGCTGGCTCAGGAATTCTGGGAGTTGAAGTCCACGAGTCATAAAAGAGCCAAGGTTGCCTACCTCTGGCCTAGGGCGCTTCATGACTCGTGGACTTCAACTCCCAGAATTCCTGAGCCAGCATGGCTCAGCTTGGAAACCTCTCCCTTTCCCCTCAGCATGGCTGGCTGAGGAATTCTGGGAGTTGAAGTCCACAAGTCATAAAAGAGCCAAGGTTGCCTACCCTTGTTCTTGAGCCTTTGGGATTTCTGCTAGCCTGGGACTGCAAAACCTGTGAATACGCCATATGCATATTATGAAGTTTATCAAAACTTGATGAACACCAGCATACTACTCATCATACCTAAGTTCTTCCATCGGAACCTCCTCATCCTCCCAGGACCATCGTTGTGGAGGTCCCCATCGAGAAGGTATCTCTCCTGATACAAGCGCAACTGCCGTTTATCGTCATCGAGCATCATCTTCCTGGAGAGAAAGCAGGACAGAAAAGGGAACTTGACTAGTTTTTATTCAGAATATCCCCACAAAAACTGAAGCACAACCATAGATAAAATGCCCTGATATATGGCCAGATACTTACATATGGATTTTGTTTACTTGATCATGAAGTTCTCCATCTGCTGGAAGAACCTCATCAAGAAGGTCTTCTTCATACTCATTGAGTTCCTCACCATCATATTCATCTTCACTTCCCCCTTCGCTGCCGGACAGCTCAGCCTCATCTTCCATGAAATCTTGTAAATGGCTAAAGGGGTGGGGGAGAAGGAAGCCAGTTGAGTTCAAAAGGAATTAAAAGCAATATTACTACTGGGGTGAATGAAGGTAAGCAACAGGCTGGCAAGGATTTCTAGTACAGAATATTTTGTTTCCAGTTCTGCTATTAGAAAATACTCACACGCAACACAAAGAGTTGGGCTGAGATTCGTATGTGGAGAACTCATTTCTAATTTGGTAAAATATAGGAAGACAAACGGAAAGTTGGAAGCGAAGTCCAAGCTGAGATATAGTCGGGCTGCCACAATAACACTTTATTTGAAATATCAGTTCTTCGTTCCTTCTGCGTAAAGTTTAATAAGTTTCTCAGACAAGCTGTTTTTAAAAGGTTCCTTAACCTATGTTTTCCATTTTGTTCCAGTTTCATTCTGCTTTAAAGAAGGATTGAAGATTAAATCAACTTCGCCAGTAAGGTTAGAAGGTGTTACTTACAATTTATTCTTCCTTCCTTCCCTTCGCTTCAGTTCTTCTTCTTCATCAAATTCTAACTCATCACCCCCTTCTTCCTCCTGATCGTTCTCCTCCTCCTCCTCTTCCTCCTCGCTCTTTTCATCCTATGAATCAGAAAAAAATATCAAGTTCATGAATTCTTGACGCATGATATCGTATTCTTTAATATTCTCCATTATCTCCGTTTGCTCTTTTCTTTAAGACATTTTTTTTTCCTTTGAGTTCCTCAGAGTTCCTCTAAATTAATATAATCATACTCCTCTCCTAATGGAAAACAGTGATTATATTAACTGGAAGCAAAAGAAAAAAGGTGGGACTAGCAACCCAGAGTAATTTCATCAAAGGTTTTGTTAGGAAAAAAAGAGAGCAAGTGCCTAGAATTATGCGTTACTCAGAAACATGGGAGTTATTGAGGATTTAGATTTATAAGGGAAATGAAAATTAACTATTAGGAAATAGCTTTGAATTATTGTTCAGCCCAGATAACATAGACGATGGATTTGAGACAATAAAGGATACTCTGTTAGTAAGTGGTGATGTACTAGGATGAGAAATATAAAATGTCTATGAAATAAGAATATATCCTAAGTAAGTAATAGGTGTATTTTAGATATTATAATTTTTATGTAGTGAAATAAAGGAAATTTGGGTTACCTGAAATTTAAATACTATGGATATTAAAGGTTAAATTGGAATATTGTAATTACAAATTAAAAATTAGCTAAAATTTTAATTCATAAGCATAAATATATTGATAAATGTTTTAACTGAGCTTGTTATAATTACAAATTTACTAGCTTAAATATGATATAGCAAATGTTAAAGGAAATAGAGAAGGAATTTTTTGATGATGTAACCTGAGATATGTACTAAAGATTTTGTTATTGTACTATTGACTACCCAATCAACACGCTGCTTTCTAAATACTTAAATGTAAAACTGGAAAACCAATAAAAACTTGTTATATATATAAAACAATTTTTTGGGAAAGTTACAAATGGGGATCACATGACCCTGCTGGGACAGTGCAACCGTCATAAATATACACCCCAGTTGCCAAGTGTCCAACTTCTGATCATGTGACCATGGGGGGGATGCTGCAACAGTTTTAAGTGTGAAAAACGGTCACAAGTCACCCTTTTACAGTGCCGTTGTACCTTTGAATGGTCGCTAAATAAATGATTGTGGGTCGAGGACTACCTCTATGCAAAATAAGGGAGAATCATGAGCATTTACTTATATATGAATTATCTTATATTTACTGAGCTTTAAAGTTGCTTAGTGCAGAATTTTACTTTGAGAATCCTGCTGTTATCTTCTATTTTGTCTGAAAAACAGGTGAAAACAGGAGCATTTAAGCTGACCGGCTGAACAGAATATTGTAATTGTTGCTGAATCAGGACTGGAAACCATGTTTGACTGGCATGCGTTCCGTTTGGACGTTGCTCCAATTGTGCACAGTACTTACCTCTTCCTCACTGTCAAAAGGATGATCGTCTGTTAAAAGCTGGAACTCCCCAAATTCCTCTTCTTTCTCTTCATCTTCTACCTCCCTGCTTGAAAAATAGATTTTTTTTAAAAAAGAGAAAATGCAGCAGGAATGTACCTAATTGGATACGGCAGTTTAATTGCCGAATGCTTTGATTTCACTAACCACAACAGGACATGTAGAAACAGTTATTGGATGCACTGATTTTTACTTAACATGCCCTTTAAATTGGTAGGCCACTCAATAGGAGATCAAGGAGCTATAATCTTTCATCTAAAGCAGGGGTAGTCAACCTTGGCTCTTTTATGACTCGTGGACTTCAACTCCCAGAATTCCTGAGCCAGCTAAGCTGGCTCAGGAATTCTGGGAATTGAAGTCCACGAGTCATAAAAGAGCCAAAGTTGACTACCCCTGATCTAAAGCATAAAAGGAGAGGGAGAATTCCAGAATGTGGTTGCTACTATTGAGAAGATCACGTCTAATTCGGCAGAAGCCATCACAACAGACTCGGATAAGGCTGGCAGAAAATGGACAGATTCAGCAGACAGTTCATTCTGGCCTAAAATTGTTTAGGCGTTTGTTGGTAAAGCTAGCTTTTTGAAGTAGCTTTGAAATGCATTTGTTGTTGTTAATTGCGAAGTCGTGTCCGACCCATCGCGACCCCATGGACAACGTTCCTCCAGGCCTTCCTGTCTTCTACCATCTTCTGGAGTCCATTTAAGCTGACGCCTGCTGCTTCAGGGACGCCGTCCAGCCCCCTCATTTTCTGTCGTCCCCTTCTTCTTCTCTTGCCCTCCATCTTTCCCAGCATTAGGCTCTTCTCCAGTGAGTCCTTCCTTCTCATTAGGTGGCCAAAGTACTTGAGCTTCAACTTCAGGATCTGGCCTTCTAAAGAGCAGTCGGGGTTGATTTCCTCTAGGACTGACCGGTCGGATCGCCTTGCAGTCCAGGAGACTCGCAGGAGTCTTCTCCAGCACCAGAGTTCAAAGGCCTCCATTCTTTTGCACTCAGCCTTTCTTACGGTCCAACTTTCACCGCCATACATTGCAACTGGGAAAACCATGGCCTTGACTATAGGCACTTTGGTTGGCAGGGTGATGTCTCTGCTTTTTAGTCTGCTGTCTAGATTTCCCATAGTTTTGAAATGCATACTGTTGATTAAAGACCCCTAATAGTCTATATACAATGCATTCCGCTGACATACATTTCCCATACCTAGTTCTCAAATAAAGATAAAGATGCTTTATACCAACACAAGCAAAAATCACAGGCAACTGAGCCAAGCGCTACCTCCCACAAGAAGAACTGAACTGGGCAAAAGAACATCTGACTACCCAATCTTGCCTACTATTCAGGGCCGAAAGAGAGAGCGCGTGCATACTCTGGGAGTCACAAACAAAATAAAATGACCTATTCAAGGCCAACATTCAGAGGTTGTCATGACTGTGATGCACCTCCTTTCATTGCTGTAAACCAGTTAAAGCTAATTTTCTTAATCTTCCTTCTGGTTAAAAAGATGAGCATTAAGGGGGGGGGGGGAAATGCTGCCCCTTGATCGTGATCTGGCCCAAGAGGAATCCAATCCTGCTAAAAAGCTGTGAGGTTCAGAGGTAAGAAAATTTCACCTGATTGGAAAGGTTTTTCTTCCCAATCCAAACCTGAAGCACTCAAGATACGCGTGCCTCACTAACCCACATCCTATTGCTTGAGCTGCAGAAGCAGCTTTTATAATCCCCTCCCAAGGATAGTTTGTAAAGCTAAATATTTTGCATGTCTCCAAGCCTTACCTCTCGGCTGGGAAGGAGCTAGAAAACAGAGCGAGAGGTTTTGCTCCCGGGTCTTCCATCCTCCTCTTCTTTTTCAGTTTAGCAGTGGCTGAGGATGCTTGAAGGGGAGAGTCTGAGAAGTCAGAAACGAGAGGTCTAACTGCAGATCAGAACATAAACAAGCTACTCCAAATTTTGCTTCTTCGTGCTTCTTTTAAATAGGACAGGGACAATTTTGCGCTATCCCGGATGCAGACAATACCCAACCCCTGAGTCATTGTTCATGACCTCTGATTTCTCCTCTGACTATTGCATCAAACATTAGCAGCCTAGTTTAATGTAAGAGACCCACCAAAGATCCATTAAAAAAATCCTAAAAAAGTACATTTCCAACTCTAGATGGTGCTCTTAGCCAAGGGACCCAGTGTTCTCCAAAGACTCTACCGTGGTCATGTGGCCAGTATGACTATAAGCCAAGGCGCATGGAACACTGTGTTGTGATTCCGTGCCTGCCAGTGAACCCGGCAGCTGAGTCCGGGGAATCAGAGGAGGAGGAGGAGGAGGAGGGGCCTGGAGAGCCATCAGAGTCGGAGGAAGGCTCTGATGAGCTCCAGGATTTACAATCTGATGAAGAGCCTGGCCCCTCCACTCGTCCTCAGGCTGAGACTCAGTTGTGCGGGGAAGCTGAGTCAGACTCTGAGGACTCACAGCAGGAAGACATCATAGACGCTCGCAAACGCAGACAGGCAACAAGAGCAGGACAGAGGGAGGCAATGGGTCGACTCCAAGGGTGAAGGAGAAGGCATTGAGAAGCCATGCCTTGGGGCTGCATAATAAAAAGGGACGGTGTGGGCGGTGCTGGTTGCTGAAGGCAACCGTTTGCAAAGGACTCAAGTTTCATGGAATCATGTTCTGTGTGCCTTGCCTGTGAACAATTCTCCGTTTGAATCGTGTTCTGTTTGCCTTTGAACAATTCCCCGTTTGCATTGTGTTTTGTTTGCCTTTACTTTTGGGAAATTTTGCAGGTCTGTAAATCATAATAAAAGGGGTTTGTTTTTCTGCAGTTCCAGCCTACTTGTTAAAAGAGGGGTTTGTCCTTGTGAGTTAACAAGGACTCACATAGGCTGGGACAGAACATGCTGTTACCTTCCCATCGAAGTGGTACCTATTTACCTACTCACATTTGCATGCTAAGTGGGCAGGATTTAAATAAATTTCTAAAAAAAAAAAAGCTAAACAGCTAAATAAGCAAAAAACATAACCCACTTTTCAGAAAAGGCAAACCCTACCTGTATGCATAATGTGGCCCTACCCCCTTCACATTAGGGTCCAATCTTCTGAAGATCTTGCCCCTCCTCAAATGCCAAGGGCCTTGGTCACCAAACAATTGCCCCTCAGCGTGCCTGGCTGAGGAATTCTGGGAGTTGAAGTCCACAAGTCATAAAAGGGCCAAGTTTGAAGACCCCTGTTCTAGGGTCTCAACATCTGTTTTATATTGTAGCAATCAGAATTGGATGCTTCTTAATTACAGCAATCATCCCTCCTGTGTTTTTTTTAAAAGGAGATACCAACTCACCCTGAGATGGAAACTTTCCAGAGCAAAGATTGAGCAATTCCTCCATGTCTGACTTCTTGCCACTGCCTGGGTTAGGAGAATGTTGGTTCTGGCCAGAATACAGATCAAACAATTCACCCATGTTGGCATCCATCGCATTCTCGTCCATGCTGGCCAAAGGCAGACGACTCTTGCAGGACTGATATTTGTTCCGGTGATGGCCAACGTTCAAAAACCTGAAAGTCAAGACTGGCTTTTATAAATTCTGTTTCCCTTGAGGCTAATTTCCAATACAATTTGTATAAACCATGGTTTATCGAATGGAGCACAGCTGCTGGCTGTACTCAAGATAAATAAGCAAACCACCAACAAATGAACACTCTAGTTTTTTGAACTTGGAAATCCATATAGAAAGGTGTTTGTTTCCCAACCGTAGCCATTTTAAGATGTGTGGACTTCAACTCCCAGAATTCCACAGCCACTAATATTCCACAACTAGCATTATTCTGGGAGTTGAAGTCCACACGTCTTTAAATGGCTACAGCTGGGAAACACTGATATAGAATAATGCGACTCAGAGTAAGTTTCAGTTTTTTTAAGACAGCTCTTTTAAGGCAGGCTGTGCAAGGATTTCAGGAAGGCTACTTCTTAATATGAAACAGAACATCAAACAGAATCTTTAAAGTCTGCCAAATTATCCCTCTGCCTTTTCTTGTACTGAACAGAATCAATATAGGATTATTTTGAGTTTATTTCTCTTTCTCAACAATTTTCTTTTAATGGTTCCTGCATAGCTTCATCATTCGCATTGGTTCATTATCAGGAAGCTGGTTTCTCTGTATAATCTTATATATTTTTTAACCTATGCTTTGTGTGTTGTTCTGCTACATACCCATCTGCATCAAGCAACTGACTCTGCGTGTCATCTTCTAGGGAGAACTGAAACCTGCCCCCGGTTGGAACTGGGCTTTTCTCCTCGGGTGTAACGTTGTAGAGATCCTGGGAATCTTCAATGGGCAATGATGGCTCCGATGTTTTCCCTGAACTCTGTGCAGATCCCAAACAAAATAGAAATTCATGAATACAGGCCAGATCTCAAAGCCACATCAGAAAGTAAACAGGTAAGGCGAGAGGCGGAGACCGAGAGATGAGTGGCAGAGGACAATTGCAATTGCAGGTAGTCCTCAACTTATGATCACAACTGGGACAAGAATTTCCACGGCTAAGAAGGTGGTTGTTAAGTGAGCCATGCCTGATTTTACAAACTTATAATAATAATAATAATTTTTATTTTGCGGTCACAGACCAAAATGCAAGAGCAACAAAAGAAAACACAAGGAAAATATAATCACAAACAATTAAGCACCAGAAGCCTTGGGTAAAGGAAATTACAACGTTCTCCTCTAATAGTTACAGCTCTTAAAAGAAATTTAGAAACCTGAAAAGTAATATAGGAGGAGCCATCCCCTAGACCAGTGGTAGGCAACCTTGGCTCTTTTATGACTCGTGGACTTCAACTCCCAGAATTCCTGAGCCAGCCATGCTGAGGGGAAAGGGAGAGGTTTCCAAGCTGAGCCATGCTGGCTCAGGAATTCTGGGAGTTGAAGTCCACGAGTCATAAAAGAGCCAAGGTTGCCTACCCCTGCCCTAGACAATATAAAACCAAATTACTAACATTAGAACCAGAGGGATCAATTCCAAGGAGAGACAATAATTTAATTCTGCCTGTGTTATACATAGGGCGGTATGATAAGACATGCTCCACAGTTTCAACTTCGGCCCTATCACAGGGGCATAGTCGCTCACTAAACGGGAGCCTCTTAAATCGCCCGTCGAGTAGTGCGGAGGGTAAGATTTTACAACCATTTTTTTGCTATAGTTGCTAAGTGAATCACACAGTCGTTAAATGAATCCGGCTTCCCCCATTGCCTCTGCTTATTGGAAGCTGGCTAGGAAAGTCACAAATGGTGATCACGTGACTCAAGACGCTGCAACCGTCGTGAATCCGTGCCAGTTGCCAAGCGCCTGAATTTTGATCAGGTGACCCTCGACCGGTTGCAAGTTACTCCTTTAATTCCGTAAAGACTAACGCAACCACGGCTTGCCTTAGAAGCTGAGCTGATGAAGCTTGTTTTGAAGAAGCCCGGAGAAGGAGAGCGAGCCGTTCCAATGGCAGAGAAGAAGTTGCCTCCACGTCCCATTTGCTTATTACAGGGCTGGTAAGAGGGAATCATGGAGCCGATGAGCTCAAAGCTGCTGTTGTGGCTGTTCTCCTTTGCCAAGGTGGGCAGCAAAAACGAATCTTCATCGTCTAAGAGAAAGAAAGGGGCGAGGATAGAAAACACGATCGGTTGTAGAGAAACAATGGAAGTAAAGAGTTGCACTCCGCACTTCAGGGTGTATACTATTTAAAATCATAAAGCAATAACCCAATCAGTGGCACCTACAGGCAGTCAAAGGAAGTCAGATGACCAGAAGTACAGGTAGTCCTCAACTTACAACCATTTGTTTAGGGACTGTCCAAAGTTACACCACCACTGGAAAAAGTGACTTATGACACTTATGACCCTCGCAGTTGGTCACATGTATTTCTGACAGTTAATAATAATAATAACAACAACAATAATAAAAAACATCCACATCTGCCTATCCCAGGTCCTTGGTAAGGACTCGACAGGTAGACAAAAATGCCAAATCCAGTATGAACATCTGGCTGACTGTGCGATGATCAATAATAATGTTGGAAGGAACCTTGGAGGTCATCTAGTTCAACCCCCTGCTCAGGCAGGAAACCCTATATCAGTGGTGGAGAATCTATGGCATGCATGCCAGAGGCAGCACGCGGAGCCCTCTCTGTGGGCACACGTCATCGCCAAAGCACACGTGGTCTATAAAAGTTCGCCATCACTGGCCTAAGGCCAGCCAGCCTGGAGCTGCCATTGGGGAGCCCACCATCCCACCCGCCAGAGACCCCCTGGATCTCCCCCAACCCTGCCCGGCTCCCACAGGTGTCCCTCCCCATAAGCAACACAAGCTGCACCAGAGTGGGCCACACCCACCCGGCACCCGGCGATACATAAGGGGGTTTGGGGTTGCAGTTTGGGCACTTGGTCTCTAAAAGGTTCGCCATCACTGCCCTATATCATTTCAGACAAATGGCTGTCCAGTCTCTTCTTAAAAACTTCCAGTGTTGGAGCATTCACCACTTCTGGAGGCAGGTTGTTCCACTGGTTAATTGTTCTAACTGTTCTAGGTTGCTTCTCTCTTTGGTTAGCTTCCATCCGTTGCTTCTTGTCCTGCCTTCAGGGGCTTTGAAAAATAGCTTGACTCCCTCTTCTTTGGGGCAGCACCTGAGATATTGGAAGACTGCTACCATGTCCCCCCTCGTCCTTCTCTTCATTAGACTGGACATACCCAATGTCCCAATGTCATGTGATCACCATCTGTGACCTTCCCAGCTGGCTTCCAACAAGCAAAGTCAATGGGGGAAGCCTGATTCACTTAACAATTGCATCAAAAATGTATAACGTGGGACAAACCTCACTTAACCACTGTTATTTAGCAAGGGGAATTTGAGGCTCAATTGTGGTTGTACGTCTTGTCACATTGCCACACAAGCCCCGCCCCTTTCCCGATGGCATTGTGACATCACATTCATCCCCAAAGGAGCAGACCTTACACAGGGACAACAGCTCTCGCCTCTTGCTCTCAGAAGCAAGAGGCGACAAATTCTGCTGAACTATGGTTAATTTCCATCTTAGTGGCTGAGATGGCTGTGTGAATCCAGACTTTGTGGCTTAGTTTACCAATCATGCAAACCCATAAAACTCGATTCATCCGGGTACTAGAACAATCACGTATGTGACCAGAACTATTAATGAACTAGCAGGCTAGAATTATCTAAGACAGGTTCCTAAGATCTCCAGCACATAATTAACTGCATGCCACTTGACTTATATCAACTCAGAACAGGTGAATCCTTGTAGTTACAAGCCTTTTATCTTATGCTTCATCGTGCCTCTTCATCTTTCCATTATTTACAGGAACACGGTTTTGTCACCAGGACCTGCCCAAGGATTAAGTCCTTCGGTTTCACAAGTGCAACTGGATTCAGGACATGTTTTGGAGAAGGACCTTGAAGCATGGCTGTTTAGAGGAGAGCAGCTGGTTGGCCAGATCAGCCCCTGGGTTGACTTCCCCTCTCCAAAATATAACCACACGATTTACCCACAGTTCCACTCAAAATGATAAAAGCACTACTAATATATTCCACATGCTATATAATATCTTTCAAGTGATTCTAAGATAGCAGTTTTATAGTTTAAGGCCCTACTTGTCTTTTTTAATGGATGTGATCCACCCACCCTGAGTGGCAGGTGTGGAAAGCAGAATTAAAAAGACAGTAAAGAAAAGATCTGCAATACCCATCTTGTTTCATCAGAAAAGGGGTAGAAAGAAACAACGCAGGGACAGATGTTCTACCTTGCTTCTCTGCTCTCTTGCTCAAGGCTTCTTCCAGCTCAACTTTTTCACCTGCCAAAAAACATCTGCCAAAAAAAAAAAAAGCCCTTTAAGATTTCAATATGATTTATCAGCATAACATGCTATCTGCGTGATTTATTTTAAATATCTCTTACTGATTAGTTTTCTCACGATTTCAACTTCTTGAAAAACCGCACTGAACAAATTATTCAATGCAGGAAGTTAATTTTATAAACAAAGGAAGGTCCTTCAATAAAAAGGAATACCGAGAAAGAGTTGCTCCAAGGTAACATGAGCAGCCAATAAGTTTTCTAAACAAATAAATAGGAGCACAGTTCATCGAGATGTTATGGGAAGCGCTCAACAGTTACAAAAGATATTTTGCTCTCGCAAAATAGGTTTGGAGTGTACATTTGAAAGCAGCTATTTTTTGTTCTGGGTTTTTCAAAGTACCCTATTTTTGAAGAATTATCTTTAAACAGGAGCAATGTTGACTCTGTGGAGGAAGGCTTTGAAACAGCACTGCAGGGCAAACCAACGGGAGCCGCTTCATCTTCATCAGCTGATTCTTTGTCCGTTTCTTTATCAGCCTCAAGACGGGGGTCCCCCAGCTCTTCGTGTTCCTCCTCCATCTCTCCAAGGTCATCTGGGTCCTGATGGGACACACAGAGAGACAAAACTCCATAATGAGTGAAGCAGAACCACAGGTAGTCCTTGACTTACAAGCATCCGTTCAGTGATCGTTCGGAGTTACAGCAGGGCTGGAAAAAGCGTAACAGAATAAGAGAGTTGGAAGGGACCTTGGAGGTCTTCTAGTCCAGGGCTTTTCAACCAGTGGTACGGGTAGCACCTGTGGTACATTGGCACCTGGCAGGTGGTACGCGACCATCCTAGAAAAGCGGGGGAGGGGAATGAGCTGAACCGGTGGCAGCACCGCACAAGCCTGAGCGAGAGACGGCTGGAGCTGCAGGGCTGTCAGGGCTCAGGGGAAGCGCCAGGATCAGCGCCAGGATCCAGCTGGAACTCGGCGCTGATCCTGGCGCTTCTGCTGAGCCCAGAAGAAGCGCCGATCAGCTGGAATGTGGCAGCCTCTCCAGGGTCTTGTGATTTACATTCAGATGCTTGGCAACTGATTCATATTTATGACGGTCACAGTGTCCCAGGGTCATGTGAAGTGACCAAAACCTGCTGCAACTACCCAGCAGACGGGGGGAATAAAAACCAAACACCCCCCCACCCCACCCCCACTGCCAATCCTCAACAGAAATGCTCACAACAATGAAAACCTTGGAAAGGAGGAAGAGCACCACCGGGTGGGCAGGCAGGTGTCTTGCTCGGCTGTGGCTTGGGGGGCACTTTTTTCAGTGCCATTGTAACTTCGAACATTCACTAAGCGAACTGTTGTAAGTCAAGGACTACCTGTACTTTATCACTTTTTCTTTCTTTTTGGGGGGGGGGTCATCAAGTTTTTGACACCTTGCTAGGCGACTGGTGGTACTCGGATGTTGCCATATCCTAAAAGTGGTACAATGGGTGAAAAGGTTGAAAAGCCCTGTTCTAGTCCAACCCCCTGCTCAGGCAGGAAACCCTATACCATTTCAGACAAATGGTTGCCCATAAATGGCTTATGAACCTTTTTCACACTTACGACTGTTGTAGCAACCCCATGATCCAAATTGGGATGCTTGGCAATTGGTTCATATATTTATGCCTGTTGCTGTGTCCTGGAGATAATGTGATCACCTTTTGTGAGCATCTGACAAGGAAAATCAATGGTGGAAGGCAGATTCACTTTACAAGGCCTTGGTAAGGCCACACTTGGAATACTGCATCCAGTTTCGGTCACCACGATGTTATGGCCTGGCCAGCTTGATTAGTGGCCGAGAGGGCATTTCAATATTGCACAGACCAAACCCGCTGTATCTTTATATCTCTGCTTCTTGAGACTGAATCCCTTTTTGATTAATCAGGACAGCTCTGGGTATATGGAGCGCCGGGATGGGTGAGGTTTCTGACTGCAAATCTACCCAATAATTAAGCCTATAAGGCATCCCCCACACTCATTGCAGTGCTCTGCTCTGGACAGCTGAAGCCTTTAGAAGACTTCATTATTTAATTATGGCTGGAGGGGGGAGGTATTTATTTCAAAGGACTTTTATCTTTTGGGCAGCAGGCCAAGGAAGAATCTGTCTTCGGCAGCATGCCAATTATCTCCATTCCCTGGTGGATTCCTACCGACTGCGTGCAAAAACTTGCCAAAGGAGTCAAAAAGAAAAAGAAAGAGACCTCCTGATTGGCTTCTTCCTCCTCTTCTTCCTCTTCCTCCAATTCATCGGACATCTCCTCCTCCTCTTCCTCCTCCATCACCTCCTCGTTATCCAGCTTGAACAAAGCATAGCGCTTCTGGCGTTCTTCTGTCCTGCGAAGCTTCATAGCTGCCTGCAGCTTAGCCTTCAACATCTGCAACTTCTCACCTGGAAGACAGGTAGGTTGGATCCCCGCATTAAGGCCTGTGCAACACAACCCTTTTAGTTTATGGCCCCAAGCCATGGTTTCAGCAAAGCTGCACGCAACTGAGCTCCAAAGCGATAATGGAGCACCTGAAAAACCGACTGGAACAGCCCTGTTTTGCCAAGGCAGTTCAACCAGTCAACCTTAGGCTCTCTCCAGGCGTTAGAACAGGGGTCTTCAAACGTGGCCCTTTTATGACTTGTGGACTTCAACTCCCAGAATTCCTCAGCCAGGCAGGCTGGCTGAGGAATTCTGGGAACTGAAGCCCACAAGTCATAAAAGGGTCAAGTTTGAAGGCCCCTGCTTTAGAACAAGACCCAAAGGGTTCTGTATTCTTGGGGACAAGATGACCCCTGCAGTACTTAATATAGTCTAACAGAGAAAGACTTAAATACATGTATGGCTAGCCCAGAGGCAGGCAACCTTGGCTCTTTTATGACTCGTGGACTTCAACTCCCAGAATTCCTGAGCCAGCCATGCTGAGGGGAAAGGGAGAGGTTTCCAAGCTGAGCCAGGCTGGCTCAGGAATTCTGGGAGTTGAAGTCCACGAGTCATAAAAGAGCCAAGGTTGCCTACCTCTGGGCTAGTCCTTGTTTAATGACCAAACTTGGGACCAGCAATTTGGCCATGGAGTGAAGCGGTTGCTAAGTGAAACCGCAGCTGTGCTTATGACCACACTTTCGGTTTTCCTTTGCTGTATGGACCTGTGAAGGTCGTAGAGGCAAGGATGGGTTGTAAAGTTAGTTTTTCTGAAGTTTCTATTTTTTACTAGAAATTTTCAGTATAACGAGATGCACAAAACGAACAAGAACAAAGGTAGAAAATAGGAAATGGAGGAACGAGAAAGAAATTAAAAGAAAAAAGATGAAAAAAATATAATTGTAGCCTTTGTCCTTCTTTCTATCCAGTAATGATCGTTTCCCAAAAACTTTGTGTGTCATTTTTAATAAGGTTACTTTTTCATCACCCTCGTAACTGTGAACAGTTGCCAAATGAGGCAGTCACTAAACAAGGACTATCTGCACTGAGACAGGCTTGAAGTATTCTTTCTCTTTATTTGGAATCTGCATGTTGATGGCAAAACAGTTTTTCCTAATAGATAGATAGATTTAAAAAAAAACTTTCTTGATGAATGAAATAGAACTATGAAAAAACCTTTGGGTTGAAAATTTTCAAGTCAGAAAAAGATTGCGTCAAGCAATTTTTTTATAATCACAGGTGCTTAATATTTTATCAGCAACATATTGTCTGGGTTCCAACATTTAACTTACTAATACATATTAAATTCCTTTCTCTCTACCTCGTTTTTCTAGCCCTTGATAAAAGGTATCCCATGTTCTAAAATAAACTGAATCATCTTTCTCTTTCATTTTCAATGTCAATCTATCCATTTCTGCACAATCTAAGATTTTTTTTAATTAACTCTTCCTCCGTTGGTAAATCTTCATTTTTCCAATGTTGAGCGAATACAATTCTTGCTGCAGTTAATATATGTAAAATTAAATATATGCACTCTTTCTCATAATTTCCTACAATTATGCCTAACAAAAATAATTCTGGCTTAAAATCTATTATGTTTTTTAGTCGTCTTCTCTAACCACGTATGTATTCTTAACCAGAATCTTTTGGCTTTAGAACATGTCCACCAAAGATGGTAATAAGTGCCTGGTTTTTGTATCTAACTATTCCTGTGCTGGTGGCTGTGTTCGCATGACACAGATGAGCTAGACTTCAAGTTTTATAACTTCCTAGACCGCATAGAGGTTTAGTCCAACTCACGTCAAAGGGAATTTGTTTGATTCACCGATAAATGGTAGGACTCCCTTTGTGTCAAGCATCCTGGTTCCAAGAGAACTAATCCTATACATTAAACCTTGAATCTGTGCTAAGCATACCTGGTTTGGTCCGGGCTGCATCCTCTACCATCTCTGTGGCCAGCGTTACTGGCACCACGTCCGCTTTCAACTCCTCTTTGCCATCATTCGTCGTTTCTTTACGAATAATATTCAAGCTCACTGTTCGTTCCGTCTTTGGCTGGGCTGTGTGAAATGCATGCTTTACAAAGCGTTCTTTCAAAGCTTCCAGTTCTACGAAATCCACACAGACAAAAATAAATATGCAAAAATAATTTTACTAGAATCATCTGTACTGCAATTATAACTTTTTCAGTTTTTAAAAGCCAGTTCAACAATGGATTTGCCCATAACTCAATTCTGCAAAGTTATCTGCTAGGTTTCTTTATATTTCTGTTGCAGATGGGAGAAAACAAGTTTTTCTCTTGAACAAATCATAAAGCACCACAGATCTAACATCAAGACCCAAGATAAAAGATGCTCAAACATTTTTTTCATTTAAGAGTAATCCTGTTGTTTGAATGATACCGCAAATGGTATCCTCCACCTACTAAGAAGGATCAAATTTATCTTAACTTCTGCAAATTAGAAACTGCCCAAGTCGATCATAATAGGAAGTGTTTGCAATAGAAAAAAAAGTGTTTTTTTCATTTCTTTCTCTTCTTGCAACTGCTGTGTGCCATAATGATTATCATGATATCTATATCAACAGAGTTGTTAAGTCAAGGACTATCTATATGTGAGCTTGGTGAACTGATTGGACACACTATGGCAGTGTTGGCGAACCTATGGCACGGGTGCCAGAGGCGGCACCCAGAGCCCTCTCTGTGGGCACGCGCACCGTCGCCCCAGCTCTAGGGCCTTCAGCTGGGTTTTATAAAACCTTTTCGCTTTAGGCCTCTGCTGCCGTGTACAAAAAAAAAAGGTTCAGTCAATCAGTCAATTTCAACTTCTCGCGGGGAAAAAAAAGATCTTGCAAAGTTGGAATTGATTGATTGAACTTTTTAGTCCCACCCAGTGTGCCATTACCATCGCAGCCACACCCACCCAATGGGCCACACCCACCCGGCACCCGACGATGCATAAGTGGGTTTTGGGTTGCACTTTGGGCACTCGGTCTCTAAAAGGTTCGCCATCACTGCACTATGGCATAATCTTTGATAAAGGATCAATTGCTGCTGCTATGATTCAGTACCAAAAAATGAAGAAGCCAAGAACAGCAGACAGTTTAGGAAAAAATGCCAACATGTCTTTCCTACCTCTCCGCAAACCTCTCAGAATAAATTGCACGGAGGGGCTTCTACACAAAGAGACTTAGCACAGCTAGATACAGAGCAGCAATCAAACCAGGTTCAGGGTTACCATACCTCTGTTGGGTTCAGGTTCATCAAGGTCAATAAACGACTCCATGCCAGAACATAGCTTAGGCTTAATACTCAGATCCACCCCCAGCTTCCGTAGCCGATCCAATCTGGCCTTTTTTATTTTGTCGCTAGGAATTTCCACCAGTGGCTCCAAGTCTTGAATGGGTTCTTGGGGTAGCACAGGCAATTCTAATGATTGTGCATCTCTTTCTTCAACTATATCTCCTTCCAGTTTCTCCTCCGGTGGTTTGATGGACTCAGCAGGGACTTCATTGAGCTCTCCTTCTTTCTCAGAATTCAGATCGTCCCTAAATTCTGTTTGGAAATCATCGTTCTGCTTATCTTCTTCAGAGCAATCTCCCGTCAAATGTTCCGTTTCCTCTGCAGGAGAGCTGCCGGCAGCCAAAGGATTTGCAAAACCTGAAATTGGCAGATCCAATGTTCCTGGCTGGAGAGACTGTTCTTTCCCATTGTTATGGCAGCCGACACTGGGATTCCCTGTCACGCTCTCTTCTTTGAATAAGTTGGGTTGAGTTTTCATTGATCTGTTTACCAAGACAGGGATAAATCAGCAACATCCTCCTTTCCCTTGAACTCAAGTCAGTTCAAAATGTGAGACAAGCAAGCTGAAGGTATACAGAGTACAAAAGAAGGGATCTATATGAAATAAATAATCATGGCTGGATTATTGCAATAATGTGCTCTACGTCAGGGCTTTTCAACCTTTTCACCCATTGTACCACTTTTAGGATATGGCAATATCTGAATACCACCCGTCGCCTAGCAAGGTGTCAAAAACTTGATGACAAAAAAAAAAAGGAAAAAAGTGATAAAGTCCTTGACTTACAACAGTTCGCTTAGTGACTGTTCGCAGTTACAATGGCACTGAAAAAAGCGACCCCCGAGCCACAGCCGAGCAACACACCTGCCTGCCCACCCGGTGGTGCTCTTCCTCCTGTTTGAGGTTTTCATTGTTGTGAGCATTTCTGTTGAGGATTGGCAGCGGGGGTGGGGTGGGGGGTGTTTGGTTTTTATTCCCCCCGTCTGCTGGGTGGTTGCAGCAGGTTTTGGTCCCTTCACATGACCCTGGGACACTGTGACCGTCATAAATATGAATCAGTTGCCAAGCATCTGAATGTAAATCACAAGACCCTGGAGAGGCTGCAACATTCC